ATTGACAGGTTGAATGGTTGCTTAGGCTTTTACATATATACTAGTAGATAAGGAATAAATCCTATCAACCTTCATGAGTTTCTGGCGTTTATGGTCTAAATATTCCATCACAGACACAGATATACAGATATCCTATAAAATAAAAGAGAAACATGCAAATTAACCATCCCTCTGCTATGCTCAAGCCATGCCCACCAGCCAATCAAGAGCAAGTATGCAAATTAACCCTACTAAGATGGCCACAGCCACAGAGCTGGAGAAAGCAGGAGGCTTGGGTTGCCCCTGGCGATGCAGGAAGCCAAGATTCCCACCTGCCATGGCTGGACCTGGGCTCCGCTCAAGGCTACAAAGTTTCAATTATAGAAGATAAATAAATCCCAGAAAAAAAGAAAAAAAGGAGAGGCTGGGAGCTTGGATCACCGGGGAGCGTGGCCAGCCTGAAAATGGCCATCAGCCCCTCACCCAGGCTGGCCACACCCCCATGGGGCGAGGGCCCCTGCTGGAGGGCTTGGCCAGCCTGCAAACAGCCATCAGCCCCTCACCCAGGCTGGCCACACCCCCATGGGGCGAGGGCCCCTGCTGGAGGGCTTGGCCAGCCTGCAAACAGCCATCAGCCCCTCACCCAGGCTGGCCAGGCACTCCAATATAATAAAAGGGGAATATGCAAATTGACCCTAACAGCAGAATGACTGGGAATGACTGGTCACTATGACACACACTGACCACCAGGGGGCAGATGCTCAATGCAGGAGCTGTCCCCTGGTGGTCAGTGCGCTCCCACAGGGGGACCTCTGCTCACCCGCAAGCCAGGCTGAAGGCTGCCAGCACAGCGGTGGTGGCGGGAGCCTCTCCCACCTCCTCAGCAGTGCTAAGGATGTCTGACTGCAACTTAGGCTTGCTCCCTGCTGGCAAGTGCACATCCCCCAAGGGCTCCCAGGCTGCCAGAGGGATGTCTGACTGCCAGCTTAGGCCCAATCCCCCCGGGAGCAGGCCTAAGCCAGCAGGTGGACATCCCCTGAGGGGTCCCAGACTGCGAGAGGGCTGAGGGACCCCCCCCCCCCCCAGTGCACAAATTTTTGTGCACTGGGCCTCTAGTAAGTATATATTTGAACACACATAGAACCAAAAACAGCACTTATTTTTGCTGAGGATGTATGTGTCTTTTGAAAAAAACATGTACCTATGAGGGAAATTGTTTTGAGTCAATCAAGTATATTTTGCAAAAAAATAAAGAGATAAATTAATCTAGGCTGAAGGGGGGGAAACAAAACTGGGCAGTGAATGAACAACTTGGTAAAATCACACTTCACACTGGTTAATGGCACGTGCTTTGGAGTCGGAGCTGTCTAGCTCTCCTATCAGTTGTGACACTTTGGTGAATTTATTCAACATCTCCAAGTCTCCATGTCTTCATCTTTAAAATTGGATAACTCTTATTTGATATGCTTCTTATAAAGATTAAATGAATGTTATAAAAATGTAGCTCAGAATTTTACAGTAATATATTTTCAAAATTGGTACCCATTAGATTTATCCAGTCAAAATTAATTTAGCAAATATTTATTGAGGTCTATTGTGTGCCAGACACTATGTGCTCAGTATTCAGAAATAAACTGGTAAGCAAAAAAGCAAACATGGTCTGTCTTTTTTGAAAAAGGCCAGGGGGGGGAGAAGCACAGTGCTAACACTCTCAGAGATTCCCAATTTACTGAGGGACATAGTCAATCTCACAGATGAGTTTAAAATTATGACTATGAAAAGTACAGGACACTGTGAAAGCATGTAACAGAGAAGATACATTAGTTCAAGGGCAAAACAATTTCCTTAAGAAAGTGATGATTCCACTGAAATACGAAGGAAGAGTAGGACTCAAATAAGGAAAGAGAGGACAGAAGGGTTTTGCAGGCAGCATTCCCGAAGCCCGGTGGGAAGAGCACCCTGGAAGCTGCAAAGCCACTGTCCTAGGACCGCTGGGCGTGAGCAGAGGTGAGACTGCCCTGGGAAGGGCTGTTTGTGAAAAAGCTATGTATATTCTTGTCTTTATAAGGGCATTGCAGATATGAAAAGTAAAAAAAAAAAAAAAAGATGTCATTATTGACTACTAGAGCAGCACAATTGAGAATATATTCAGGGAGGGAGGGAGGGAGAGAGAGAGGGAGGGAGGAATAGAGAGAGAGAGAGAGAGGTTTAGAACAATTGATTTCCTGAAAGTATTTATCTTAATCAGAGTATGTCTCAGAGTGAAACAGATGAAGGCAGAAAACAGTACAGTACATGAAGTAAAAAGAACAAAAGGTTATTATGACTGGATAGGTTTTGAGATCAGAGTTACAATACCATATAAATAAATGGGCTGAAAGAATGTACTTTAGAATGAATTTCATAAAATGAGCTGTAAAGCATCTTACATTTCTGCCATTACAGACTTCTTCAGCATTTCCATTTAAGTTCCATATTAAGCATTCAAATTATCATTTATACATCTGGCATAAATCAAAACTGAATAGTTTGTTTAAAGGATTTTTGATTGGTGTTGCTATTCAAGCAAATGGGTTGATTCATATTATCTTATAACTTGCCTCTGGTGGATTAAAAACAATATTGTAATTTTGGTGTGAATGAAAATGAGGATCTCAGCCTGAAGAAGCTGAAGGTATTTATATATCACTCAAAAAGTTCTTTAATGTAGAAACTCAGGCTTAACGATAGGTACCTAAATATGTGCTAGAAGTGTTTAATCATACTTAACAAATTTTCATCTCAGCTAGGTGCCATTAACACCCCTAATATCTAATATCTTTAGAGAATATCTTTAACACATTAGCTTTCATAATAGAAAAAAAAAAGAAATAGAGTCTTTCCACATCATTGCAATTCTGCATAATCCAACAAAGCACTGAGAGGAGAGGATGAGGTTGAAACTAGAAATTTTTATTTGGGCAATTCTCAAGATTTCCAGAATTGTCTGATGGCAATGAAACAGCATAAAGTTTGAGTTTTTGAAAAATCATTCTGGCTAGGGGGTAAAAGTTGGATTGGATGGGAAGATGACAAGATATAGAGACTAATTAGGAAGTTGCTACATTAAACCAGATGAGAGGTAACAGTGGTCTGGGGAGATAATCACAGCCTGAAATATGCTAGGGACCATAGAGATGGAGAAAAGTGAATGGATTCAAGAAACATCTAGGAATTAGAAGGAGCTGTGGGAATGAATTGGACATGTGTGATAAAGGGACAGAGTCCAGGGTAACTCTAAAGTGTAAGGCTCTGGGCACCTGGGAAGATAGTAGTGAAGTGATTGGGGCAGGAAATATAAGAAAACAAAGTGGAGGAGGCTGGGATGTGCATCACAGTGGAAGGTTCTGTTTTAGACATCCTGGTTTTGATCTGCTGACGAGACAGCTGTGTGGACATGTCAGGTCAGCTGATACAAATACAAGTTCAGATGAGAGGTCTGGTATAAAAATAAAGATTTAGGCATCAGACGTGGGAGTGAGTCCACTGACTCAGGTTCATCTTTAAAATGGAAAGAGAGATAGACTAACTGTTGAGAAGCCACCATTCGTTTCCTGTTTTTAACTATGTGAAAGGTTTACGATCTCGTCTTGAATAGGAACTGATATAAAGTACCACTCAATTTCTCTAGTTTCCCAGATTCTATTTATTTCAACAGAAGAAATCACTATACAAAAAGATGCTTTTACTGAGTTAACAGAATTAATTAGATCATGTACATTTACTGGATCATTAATTAAATTCTAATAATTTACTATTACAACTGGTAATATGGTAGCATTCACATTTCCTACAGTGTAAGAATTCTCAAAAAGACTTTTAACCACAATTTTCTATTGATATTGATATCTTATGCAAAGTAATTGCTATTTAAAGGGCAAAAAATCTCTTTCTGGACATATATGTCAAGTGCAACAGAAAAATCTTTAATTATATGATATATTACAGATGTAGTATTTTTGTTTACTTTTAAACCAGTCTTTCACCTAATCTAAATTGTATTTTTCATTCTTTTTCTGTATTCCAAAAGTGCTGTCTTCTTCAAGACCAGTTTTTCATTTCTCGCAAGAAAGTAACTCAGGCCGAAACCGGTTTGGCTCAGTGGATAGAGCGTCGGCCTGAGGACTGAAAGGTCCCAGGTTCAATTCCGGTCAAGGGCATGTACCTGGGTTGCGGGCACATCCCCAGTAGGAGGTGTGCAGGAAGCAGCTGATCGATGTTTCTCTCTCATCGATGTTTCTAACTCTCTATCTCTCTCCCTTCCTCTCTGTAAAAAAAATAAATAAAAAAAAAGAAAAAAAAAGAAAGTAACTCAGTAAGAGCCATAGTATGAATTTTAAATATATCAATAAAATAAAACTCTCCAGTTCAAAAAGTTAATATTTGTAACTAAGTGTTATACTACTCATGGAATTTTTTTAATTTAAAGACTCTATTTACAAAAATATGATTGCAATGAAACTTCTTTAACAGCATTCAAAGAACTACAATTATTTTAACATCTCAATTATTTGTCATGAACATAATTGGGTTTTAAGCATTTTTGGTTGTGTAGGTACAATTTTATTAGGTATATACTCATGTTATCAAAATAACTCAGCTAATAACTTTGAGGAGAGCATAATTTATGTTGAAATTGGTCCAAACAGAACATTTGAAAAATGGAATGAGTCCAATGTCTTTAGCTTTCTTATCAGAGGGGTTCCATTTTGATAAAATTATACTGTTTCATGAATGAGTCCATTGAAAAGGAATTTCAAAAAAACACTACAGTGTTCTGTGAACACATTAGAGCTATGTACCTGTGCAAATATTGCTTACAAATAACCACAAAATGTTTATAAAATGCCACAAAATTATTTTCTAATTGGTTTAATTTCTAGTGAAGACAAACTCACTCCAACATAGGAATAATACATGTTCAAAAGATATAATAATTAATATTAATTAATTAAATCACTAAATGCATTACATTGCATGCTTATTGGTTATCTAAATGGTATCTATATATAGAAAGCAGGGACAACTTAAATGAGAAGTCAAATGATGGTTTACATTTCCATAGTTCTGAGAACTTCAACCTTTGATTCTGAGTTGAAGCAACTTTTCACTAAACGTGCATTCGGTTTTAAGAATAATCAGCTAGCTGAGCATTAAGAACTTCCCCCGTCATTTTCCAAAACACTAATTATATGGCAAATTTCCGTTTACTTCCTTGAAGTCCTACAATTCGGTGGTAACAGTTACCTGCAGCATTTCCTAGTGGATTTAATCTATAGGAAGATTCATTAAAACAGACACACACACAAAATACAATAAAAGAGAGAGAGAGAGAGAGCCTGTGGCTCCCTAGGGAAATTGGTGTTTGGTCATCTTTTCATCAGAGGAGGGGAGAGCAGTTAATTATACATCATCCCCAACCTACTCCCCAGTGTGATTTGAAAGTCAATTTATTTAGCCACCACCTTTTAGCGATGCTGATAACGCCAGTTCCTTGTTCAGGTTTCCTTCACTCTGGGAAACTGTCACGAGCATTTCCGTAATTCCACCTTCCAGCCATACAGCTGTACGTGAAATGCTTTGTTGTCCTATCTTCCAATAGGTGTGTTTTCACCTCGGCTCTGCCGATGTGTTTTCCGTGAATGACACCGAAGAGCATCCATTCAGATGCTCTTTTGCTTCCTTCCAGATTTATAGCTCTGGGCAGAATTCATCCACACATTTTCACACCACAGCTTCTTCAGACATTGGTTGCCTCTGTGAAAGAGCCATTGGGGCCATATTTCCTTTTTACTTCCAGGTTCTTTTTAGCCTTGAATGACACGAACACTTCTGAGTGAATGGTGTCCAACCTGGGCTCACAGCGGAAGGCAGAGAGGAACGCCTTTCTGTAGTTGCTGTTCATCCAGCCGTAGAAAAGGGGGTTGGCAAAGGTGGAGCACATGGCAATGATGTGGAGAACGGTGAAGATGAGCTTGTACTCCCTCAAGTTCAGGACTTGGTTGTCAATGTCCACAGCGAGTTGGAAGGCATGGAGAGGCAACCAGCTGACCGCGAACACCACTACCACGCACACCAGCATTTTGGTGGTCTTTTGCCTTCGCTGATGGTAGTGATCATTAGCAGCTCCAGGACTGACATGGTTCTTAAGTTTACTCCAGATACGGGTGTAGGAAAAAGATATGATGCTCAGAGGCAAAACATACAGGATCAGTAAGGAGGAAACACTGTAGACAGTGCCATACACGCTCTTCTCACCCGGCCACTTCTCCGTACAGGCCACAATCGAGAAGTCAGGGATAATCTCAATCAGTGAGTACTCACGGAAGATGGCCAGGGGGCTTGCTAGCAGGGCACTGATGCCCCAGGCCAAGCCAATGATCAGGAAGCTGATTCGCTTGGAGATCTTGCTCTCCAGGTGATAGACGATGCAACGATGCCGGTTCAGGGCAATTACTGTCAAGGTGATCGTGGACACTTGTACTGCCAGACCCTGGGCATAGGGTACCAAGTGGCAGAGAACAGGACCCATTTTCCACTCCCCCATTAAGGTGTAGGTAAGAGTGAATGGCAAGCACAGGGTGTTCACCAGAAGGTCTGCCACAGCCAGATTGGCGATGAAAAAGTTGGTTACTGTGTGCATGCTCTTGAATTTGATTACCACATGGATCACCAAGGAGTTGCCAATCACCCCAAGCAAGATGATGAAGCAATAAGCCAAGATGAGGACAATCTGCACCTCCATCAGCTTGGTGCTGTCTCTAAGCTCTGGCTTAGGGTCAGGGGCCAGCTCACCTCTAGGAGTGGTCTGCCCTGGACCATACTGCTCCATTTTCATTTCTTCCACTGTCTGGTTCTCATCAGCCTCTGCACCTATTGGGCCCATTTTCAGGAACTAGCACAAGAATCTACAATTAAAAAAAAAGAACAACTATGAAGCAAGGGTGAGACAAAGGAATATCACAAAAGGATTGGTTTCATTGTGGTGGGGGCTCAAAATGCCTGTCCTCTGATATCTCAAGTTGCACATAGTGTAATCCTATCTAATAATAGACAAACATGGTAATTAACCATACCTCCGACACGCTTCCCATGGGCTAATCAGGGCGATATGGAAATTAACTGCCAACCAAGATGGTGGCCGGCAGTCAGGCAGCTGAAGCGAACAGGAGGCTTGCTTGCTCCAGTGATGGAGGAAGCCAAGGTTCCCCGCCTGCCGATGCCGGCCTCTGAGCTGCACTCTAAGAAATAATGTTGTAATTATAGAAGCTAAACAAACCCCAGAAACCTGCTTTCAGCCAGCCGGGCCTCAGAGCTGGAGTTGCAACAGTGTTTCAATTATAGAAGCCAAACAAACCCAGATACCTGCTTTCAGCAGCCAAGGCCTCAAGCTGGAGCCTGCCTCAGAGCTAAAGCCGGCTCTCAG